GATCATGGCATTCCCAGGGTGGGTCCTCTGCATTGAGGCAGTCCCAGTGTCTGCGACCCCTGGCCCAGGTCTTTGAAGGTGAGGCTGGTCTTTGAAGGTGCCAGCTAAGGAGGGTAGGAGGTGTAGTTGTTCCTCACACCTGCTATCTTCTGGGTTGTGTTTGTTTATTTGTTTGTTTTCCAAGCGTTTTCTGGTAGTTTTTCCATTCATTTCAAGTGTTTGTTCTTATTTCTGGGAGCATAGTTGTAAGAACTTCTCCAGGCTGTTTGTGGACTATTCCAACATTGTGCTTGTATGTCTTGTCATTTGGGGAGGGGGTTACAGGTTCCCCAGCCTCTCCTTTTGTTGTGTAATTCGGAGTAGTATATTGGACATTTGGACTATTACAGTTTGCTACATCCGGGCCTGTTAGAAATCCAGGAGATGCCAGTGTTGTTTGTTTAGCAACTGGTCCTCCCCTCCCCCCGGTTGGTTGAGTGGAGATGGCAAGTCTTGGCCTGCTCCCAGTGGGCTGAGTCTGCACAGCCCTCATCCTTCTGGGCGTTGAGTGCCAGCATGAAACTAGGTCGTGGTGAAATGCCAAGGTGTGGCCCTCCCAGTGTTGTCATGCTGGTGGATGTGGACCACTGGGGTCTCCAGGATGTCCCCCAGAGGTCCTGAGATCTCCTTATCCCTCCTCTGCTCTGACCAGAAGCCCAGTCTGGACACAGCCCCCCAGGAGAGCGGAGCAGGGTGCCAGACCTGAGTTGCTGCCGTGGCCTAGTGTTGGTGATAGCGCCCTCTGGTGGGAGGCAGAGGACAGGTGTGGGCTTGTACTTGCCCACCTCTCCTCCGCTGCCTCTCCAGTTGGCTTCTCTCCCATGCCTGTCACTTGGTGTTGCCAGTCTGCCCTGCCTGTCCTTGGTTTTCACTGTGCCCTCTTGCTGTTTGACTTGGGTCACATGGGTATTGATTTTCATATTTCATTTTCTTGTGCTTATGATCTCTACATACTGTACCTCTGTTGGAAAGCCTCCATGGCACCCCACAGGACTTCCACACCTGTCCTGAGTGGGGCTCTCCTACCCTTGTGGCCCTGCTTCACAGCCTCAGTTCTCTAGAAGCTTCCTGTGCCCTGTCCTGTAGCAGCGCCGGAAGCTAGGCGCCCCTCCCCCCCCCCCCCCCCCCCCCCCCCCCCCCCCCGCTTTCTCTCTAAGCCTACTTGGCTTAGTTCATTCCCTTGTTTTGTGTCCTGAGGGCAGGTCAGCCTGCCTGCGTCCCAACAACCCTAGAACAAGGGCAGGCATTAATAGGTGCTCAATTAAGGCCTGGTTGGATACGTTAAAGGTCCAATTTGTCTCTCCTATATACTTGCAAACTATGTGGCTTACTAAAATTGTTCAAGGGTCATTTGTATGTTTCTATCTTGTCTGGAACTCCAGGCCCCATACTGCACCCCACTCCAAGTTCTGGGCTGTTTCCTGCACCCAGAGTTCCTTGTATACCTCCCACACATTCCATGCCATGTGGAATTTGCCTGCTGGCTTTTCTGTTCTCTTGAGAGCCTCAGTCTGGGCAGTGATGCTCACCTCCCTGGTGGCTCATTATTGCCGAGTGAATACACATGGTTCTAACTACCTGTCTTCATGGCTTATAGAAGAAATGAAAGATGTCACCAGAAATAGATCTGGAGTATTTATAAAGTTATGTTTTAACAATGGAACAGAAGCCTGGGTGAGGGTACACAAAGCCCCTGATGTTCACTGAGCTCTGGCTGTAGACAGTTGCTGCTCAGGTGGGCCAGAGGAGCAGGGCTGTGCTGGACACAGCAGGCTGGGCTGGAGTGAAGGAGCCTGCCAGGGGCGGCTGTTCTAGCAATGCAGTCTCTCTGCTCCTCCACTGTGAACTTGGTGCGTGCACAGTTGCTTCTCTGACTCCTGTTCATACGTGATTCCAAGAGCTGACGGTGTGAACCACTTTGTGCCTGATGCTTGAAAGGTGCCCTGGAAAACACTGTCACCCAGTGTGTATCCTCCAGAGAGACATGGCCTTCCTGGCTGTTTCCTTCAGTCTTGCCAGCTTCTACATTCAGTTCAGAGGTGTGTTTGTACCATGGCACAAAGACACTGTGGGCTTCAGCATCCTTCCTGGATCCTCCCGGCTTCTATCAAAGGCTAGCACTGGCTTGCACCTATTACGCATCACCCCCACACAGAGCCTGGGCCCTGTGGGATCTCCTATGGGTTTTGGCAGTTCCTGCCTTCCCACAGATATCCAGGTGACAGGGAGAGAGGTTGAGCCGGCCTGTGAGGAGGCATGCCACCGTGGAGCCGTCACATAGATAGCTTAGGGAAGTGGCTGGGATTGGAGTATACATTTGTGGATAGCCGTGTGTCAAGGATCGGTCAACCGAGGCTGAATGAGGTCACCTGAGGGCATGGTAGAATGTGCCATTTGTAGGCTATTGGACAAGCAAGCTAGAAGTGGACAGAGACTGAAGTGGAAAAGAGTAGAGGGTGCTTGAAGTGTCTTGGAAATGAGGTGGAGGGTGGCTCTTACTGAAGCCCTGGCCATCGGCTGCTTCTGGTGGTCACTTGAGTAAAGAAAGGGCTAGAGGCCATTACATCCTTTTTCCGACAGTGATGCGAGTATCTAAAGCATCACTGGATTATGAGACGCTGTTCAGCCCTTCCCCAGCATGTCCCTGTTCAGAACCAGGTCTTGCACCTCTGAGAGTGCACTCTTGCCAGCCCTGGCCGCTGTGCCAAGGTTCCTTGGGTTCTCGGCTAGTATGGGATTTGAGCCTTGAGGTCTGAGCCTGGGCGGGGCCCCAACCTGCCCGAGCAGGAGCTGATGCCACGCAGCTTTGTTGTGGCAACTGTGACCAAGTTGTGTGTGCTCTGCAGCGCCTCAACACTATGCAGGGCTGTGTCAGTGCTGCACATGCTGTGGAGAAGGAAGGGGCTGGGAAGGAAACGTTACAATTGTAGGGCAGTGACTCGGTTCACAGCCCTGCTGTTAGACCAGTTCTCAGGAATCCTAGCTGTAGGAAACAAACAAGGAGCTGGGCGCTGGTGGCTCACACCTGTTATCCTAGCTACTCAGGAGTCTGAGATCTGAGAATCACAGTTCTAAGCCAGCCCAGGCAGGAAAGTCGGTGAGACTCTTATCTCCAATAAACCATCAGAAAACTGGAAGTGGCTGTGGCTCAAGTGGTAGAGCGCTTGCCTTTAGCTGAAGAGCTGAGTGACAGTGCCCAAGCCCAGAGTCCAAGCCCCACGACTGACCAAAAAAAAAAAAAAAGAAGAAGAAGAAGAAAAAAAGAAAGAAAGAAAAAGAAACAAGGGAATTGAGGAGGTGCTCCTGGGGTTTCTGAAATTAGTGTTCACCCTTGGGATTGGCATCAGAAGACCCACCCTGACACAGGGAGATCTGGCTGTCCACTGCTGGCAGGGTCCCTTTCCTGTGTTTCCGTCTGTTTCAAATGCTGGGTGTTGGTAGGATTCTGTTCTGTTCATTCTTTTTTGGTGTACTAGGGTTCACACTTGGGGCTTTGCACTTGCTTGGGCTTGGTGGGTGTTCTTCCACTTGACTCGCACTCCCAGCCCTTTTTGCTTTCAAGTAGGGCTTCACTTTTTGCTCAGTCTGGCCTGGACCATGATTTTCCTACTTAGGCTTTTCGAAAAACTGGGGTGACAGACATATCATAGCGCCAAGGTTTTATTGGTTGAGATATGAGGTCTTGTGACCTTTTTGCCTGGATTGCCTTTGAACTGCCATCTTCCCTGTCTCCTGTTGGCTAGGTTGTAAGTGTGAGCTACTGTACCTTACTTGGTGGATCTTCTTCAGCACTTTTTTTTTTCTTGTAAGTGCCAGGGCTTCAACTCAGGCTTCACATTCACTTTGCTTTCTTGCTCATGGATGACACTTTACCATCTGATATGTAGCTTTGGATAGCCTTTTGCTATTGATATACCTTCACCTAGCTTACTGCTTTAATTAGAGATGGAGACCCATAGACTTTCTGCTTCAGCTGGCTTTGAACCTCAATTGTCCAAGTGTCAGACCCTTGAATAGCTAGGACTAGAGGTCTGATCCGGCAACAGCTGGCTCAGAAGCTCTTCTTGACGATAGTGACCCTTCCTAAATGCTTCTCAGGCTAGGGGCGGTTCTGGGCTGGTGGTTCTACAGAGAGGAATGAGCTTTCCCTGGGAGTTTTATTTCCCAGATTTGACTATAATTCCCTCACGCACATGGGACAGCTGTCGATTTCTTCCTTGGTTGGGCAGTGCAGAGAAGGGCTGGAAGGAATGGTGGCGCGTTTGCCTGGTGCACGTGTGCAAGTGGCTCCGGGGTGGTGGTGTGAGGCCGGCAGTGCTGCACTCAGGCCCAGCTGGTGAGGATTCAGAGCTGGTTGTTTCTGCCTATGACCTTGGGCGTTCCCTTTCCCTCAGTTTTCTCTTGTCTCTGATGTGGGGACGGTGGTCTTGATTTGATTTGTAGTGCTGATAAAGTTCACGTAAAGAATTAAATGCTGCATGGTCCAAACACGAGTGAAGGCTGGTTGCTGCTGTTCTGTGTGGTTCTAGCAGCACTGGACCCGGCTCTCTCTTCAGTAAAGATGTTGCTGTTCAGCCTCTCTTCTCACCTCTGATCTGTGTCAGAGGGAGGGCACACTGAGCCTCTCCCCTGAGTGGATGTAGCTAAACCAGCATGCCTTCTCCCCTGGGGTCCCCAGGTGCTGCCCGCCTGTGCCCTGGTTTCCCCTGGGGCCATGTCTCAGGATTTTCACAAGTCCACGTTGAAGGCTATGGTGGGGGTGGTGTGGTGATGGTATTGCTGTGTTCACCATGAGTATGAGCCGCCATGTGCCTTTGTCCATGCACACAACGGATATAAGGCTGTGCCCCAGGACCCTCGTGTGCCTGCTGCATCTCTGCCAGGATGGTGTGTCCTTGTCCGGTTGTGGGGCATGGAGAGTCTGGAACGTAGGTCTCACTCTGCTTTCTTCCTTGTCTCAGACAACATCCCTGAGGATCTCAGAGACCCTTTTTACATCGACCAGTATGAGCAGGAGCACATTAAGCCGCCTGTTATCAAGCTTCTCCTGTCCAGCGAGCTGTACTGCCGGGTATGCAGTCTCATCCTGAAAGGGGACCAGGCAGCCACCTTACAAGGACACCAGTCCGTCATCCAGGCCCTGTCCCGAAAGGGCCTATATGTGATAGAGAGCGACGACACCCCTGTGACAGATGAGGACCTGGGCCACGCGCCAATAAAGATGGTGAGTGTCAAACTGGGCCAGCTGTCCCCGTAGCCTGGCTGTGCAGGTTCCGTGCCGTCCCTACTCTCAGATGGCAGATAGATGAAGGGAAAGGGTGTGTGAGACAGAGTTGTCTGGACATGCGTACTGCCGATCCTGATTCACCTCTCTTTAAATGTGTAATTGTTCTAGAAAGCGAGGAAAGAGCAGCTTGTTCTCGTTTCTTTTTTCATGAACAGCTGAGATCACAGAGAGGCTCATACATGAAGCGGCAAGGCTGGCCCTGGCAGCTGCTCTAACGTCAGCCATTGAGCCCATCCTACTGGGCGGCTGTGCTTAGGTCTTGTGGGTGTTTTTGTGCCAGAGTCAGTTGGCACATCGTTCTCTCCAGGCAGGTCTTCACCCTATCCCTCTCCAAGGCTGTGCTGTTCATTGCACACCTCTCTAGACCAGCCTGGTGCTGAACCTATTGGTACCCAGCATTTCCTTCATTAGGCTATTCACTAGTATTTTGCACAGAAGTGTGGATTACAGGTTGTGTATAAAATAAAGTTCCCTGTGCTCTGAGGAGAGATACCCAAGGCACTGGATAAGGCCCAGGTTGGCGATGTCAGGCAACCTCTTTCTACATCTGTGAGCATCAGTGCCTCATCTATGGAGGAGGCTCACGGGCCTGCTGGGCGCCAGGGCGTGAGGAACCTGGGCAGCCACACCTAACAGTCCTGGGGCTCAGTAGCCGAACTCCAGGCTCAGGGCCATCTTAAGTGTTAATGTCTCTGTGTGCAGGGAGAGAGAGGGGGAGAAGAAGGGTTGAGGAAGGGAAGGAAGAAGGAAAGAGGTTGCCTGTATTAGGACCGGGGGGTACAGAGTTTTCAGGGTGCTAGCTGCTTGCTGCCTCTGCTCTCAGAGTGCCCACATGGCGATGGTGGATGCCCTGATGATGGCCTACACAGTGGAGATGATCAGCATTGAGAAGGTGGTGGCCAGTGTTAAACGCTTCTCTACATTCAGCGCCTCGAAGGAACTTCCGTACGACCTTGAGGATGCCATGGTGTTCTGGATCAACAAGGTGAGTGCCTGCCCAGTCCTCCAGCAGGACCCTTCAAGTCCACACATGAGGGCCTGGCCCTGGGTCCTGTCATTCAGGACTGCACACTCTGTGTCAGGCGGGTGTCCTCAGTAGTCAGGCACAGAGCAGACAGGTTTTACTCCTGATGACAAAGGGAGGAGCAAGATGGATCTGTATCTGGAAGTGCAGTACATTTGTGCCATTAGGACGGATGAATCTTCATCCTTAGTCCCTGTGTACAGTGAGGGAGCACTCAGTGCGCCTCATAAGACATACGCCATCTTCTCCGTTTACACTTAAAAGCCTAGTGTAGTTTGTAGGCATGTTTGTGTTAGTGAAGTTTATAGGTGTATTTGTGTGTCTGTGTGCCTTTAGTAGCAGTATATTTGTAGGCTTATGAAGTATTTGAATATTAAGCCAACTTACTTGTGTTCAAATGGGGATATCAATAGGCAGAGATGATGAGATTGTGTAGCCCTTGATGGAGGTGACCAGAGTGAGTGGAGAACCTTGAGCTGAAGAGCACAGGGACAGCGCCCAAGCCCAGAGTTCAAGCCCCACGATCAACAACAACAACAACAAAAAAACCAGTGTGTGGAGAAGAGGCGTGCCGAGACACTGTAAACTGTTGGTCATACAGTTTGCATGTGTAAAGCCAGGCCAGCAGCTCCCCTTTGAAGGGTGTCACCACCACTGGGACGGACAGGATTGTGGGTATAAGGGGTTTGCTCATTCTCCAAACTAATTGGAAAGTAAATGAAGAGCGGGAGCACAAATCTGGAACAGGCCTTTCCCAGTTCCTGACTGTCAATCCCAGCCTCTCTGTTCCTATCCTTTTCTAAACAATTTCAGCAGGTTTCATTGTTCCACTTTTATACATACTGACAATCTATTTTGAGCATATTCTTTTTTTGTTCTCCTTTGGTCGGTCATGGGGCCTGAACTCTGGGCCTGGGCACTGTCCCTCACTTCTTCAGCTCAAGGCTACCACTTGAGCCACAGCACCACTTCCAGCTTTTTCTGTTTATGTAGTGCTAAGGAATGGAACCCAAGCCTTCATGCATGTGAGGCAGGCACTGTACCACTGAGCCACCTTCCCAGCTCCTTGACCATATTAATTCTCATACACCTTTCTTATTAACCTAACCCCTTCCTGTTAGTACTCACTTCTTCCACGAGTCTTTTTTCTTTCGCTGCCCCACTTCTCTCTCTGATCAACAACTTTCATTGAGATTCCTTTTTTTAGACATAATTTTAAGTATAAATATAATTTTATTTATTTTTTTTGCCAGTTCTGGGGCTTGACCTCAGGGCCTGAGCACTGTCTCTGAGCTTATTTTGCTCAAGACTATAACTTTACCACTTAAGCCACAGCACCACTTCTGGCTTTCTCTGTATGTGTGGTACTGAGGAATTGAACCAGGGCTTCATGCATGCTAGGCAAGCACTCTACCACTAAGCCACATACCCAGCCAATAAATATAATTTTTTTGTTATTAAGGTATTGTACAGAGAGCTTACCATTTCATAAATCAGGTAATGAGTACAGTATCACCCATTCCTTCACTTTTCCCCAGTTTCCCCTTCCCATCCCTGCCCACCAGTTGCACAATTGCTTTTCTACGTAGTGTATACTGAATACCATAACTGCATTTGTTCCTCCCTCCATTTTTGTGCCCCTCCTCCCCCTCCCCAAAAAAAAGACACACCAAAAACCCCAAAGCAAAACAACAACAACACACACATACACACAAAATCCCGTGTTTCCAATTTACTGGAATTTGTTTGGATAACTAATCTTTTTGGTATTTTTGTTTGTTTGTTTGTTTTTGTTTGTTTTTTGTCTATCATGGGGCTTGAACTCTGGGCTTGGGCACTATCCCTCAGCTCTTCAGCTCAAGGTGAGCCCTCTACCACTTGAGCCACAGCGCCACTTCCGGTTTTCTAGTGGTTTATTGGAGTCTCACAGACTTTCCTTCCCCGGGCTGTCTTTGAACCTCAGTCCTCAGATCTCAGTCTCCTGAGTAGCTAGGATTACTGGCGTGAGCCACCGGTGCCTGGCTAATATTTTTAATGACATTTTTGGGTTCCTCCCTGGCTTTTGTTTTTCTTATGGCTGGCACTTGACCACTTGAGCCCCAGCTCCATTTTTGGCTTTTTGGTGGTTAACTGAAGGTGAGAGTTTGATTTTCCTGCCTCAAACCATACTCCTCAAATATCAGCTTCCTGTGTACCAGGATTATAGATAGACACTCACTTCATTAAGACTCTTCATGTGTTTTTCATATATCATTGTGGTGTATTTCAAAACTATTCACCTTCTATCTTTTTCCCTTTCCTCTTTTCCTCCTAAGTAGCCCCATAGTTAGATTTATATTCTGTGCCTATCTATTTCTCTATATCTCTATGCATTCATCTATAAATAAAAGAATGTGTATAACTATGTCTATGAATATCTATCTACCTGTTTTAGGTCTAGTTTCTACTTATGGGTGAAAGTATAACAGTATCTGATGTGGAGTTTAGCTGTCTTATTCAATATTTTGTCTTCAATTTCATCCCGTTTCCTGCAGATGGTGTGATTTCATTTTTCTTTGTGGCTGTGTAACATAGGCCACATCTTTATCCACTTATCTGCTGTTGGGTACCTTGCTCATTCCCGTTAAGATTGCTGTAATAAACATAGGTATGCAGGTATCTTCGTTGTATATTGATTTATACCCTTTGAATATGGTTGCATGCTCCCTTCTTACTTGATCAGGTTCTTGTGTCTTCCCCTGTTACCATTTTGCCTGTGGACATGGCCATGATGTTCATGTACTTCCCAGGCCTCCTTCTGAAAGCCTACATGCGCTCCCCTCCCCTCTCCTCCTCTTTTTTTTTTTGTTGGCCACGGGACTTGAACTCTGGGCCTGGACAGTATCCCTCAGCTCCACCACTTGAGCCACAGCACCACTTCCGGTTTTCTAGTGGTTTATTGGAGATAAGAGTCTCAAGGTCTTTCCTGCCCAGACTGGCTTTGAACTGTGATCCTCAGCTCTCAACCTCCTGAGTAGCTAGAATTATAGGTGTGAACCACCAGCACCCGGCTATAGTTTTCTGTTGTTGTTGTTGTTTTTTATTTCAAGTGAGAACTCCTTGTATTGTCTATGTTGTCCTTGAACTCCAGGTCAAACCATCTTCTGCATCAGCCTCCCAAGTACCTGGGTCTATAGACACACATCACCACACCCAGCTACCTCTGTATTCTAAATAAATAGAACATAATTGGGCTCTGAACTTGACAGTGGTCATCATATACTGCCTTAGGTCACAACTCATGTGACCCTCCATCCCTGTCCCTGATTCTGCTTGGGTCACACAAGGACTTGACACTCGACAGTCAGCAACTGTTTTGCTTGCCTGCCTCCCTCCCTCCCTCCTTCCCTCCCTCCCTCCCTCCCTCCCTTCCTTCCTTCCTTTCCTTTCTCGGTCGTGGGGCCTGAACTCTGAGCCTGGGTGCTGTCCCTCAGCACCTCTACCACTTGAGCCACAGCACCAGTTCCAGAAGGCACCAGTTTTCATAACCAGTGTGGCTGTTCTTATACCTCACTCTCCTGTGCTTCCGTTCTCATGACCTTTTCTTTTTCCTCACTCAGTTTTTTTTGTTAGGTTCCATGTTTTGCTGTGTCCATAGCGTTTCCACAGAAGCTAGCTTTCCCTAGGGTGTCTAGTTTGGTGATAGTGGAATGGGCCCTGGAGCCCTCCCCATCTACATTCATAGGCTTTCTTCTGAGTCGGGCCCTTGGACGCAGCCTGCTGGGCTTCCCCGGGTCCTGAAAGCTTGAGCTTCCTAGCAGCTTTCCCCCACTTTGCTGGGCTCCGCCCCTGTGTCCCTGCGTCCATAGGCTCCACTCCCACGTCCCTAGGTTCCGCCCCCACATCCCTGCATTCATAGGCTCCTCCCCCTGGTCCCTGCGTTCCGTCCTTGCGGTTGTAGGCTCTACCCCCATGCCCCTGGTTCAGTCTCCCAAGTGGATTTGCAGCAGCCTCTTCATCTTCAGCACCTGAGCTGTCAGTTGGCTGAGTTTCTCTCTTTGTAGCACCACTCTGGAATCCTGTCCTGACCTACCCTAGATTGCAGCGACTAAGGCTGCCTGCTTGCCTGCATCCTGGACTCCCTTTGCCTCCTCCTGGCCTGAGCCTTCGTCTTCTGCACTCTGAGACACAGAATTTCTGCAGAGCTCCCTTCTTCTGTGTTGTTGTGCAACTTAGATTCACCCTTGTGTTTGGGGGCACTGCCCAGCTTCCTGCTTCCAGGACTGCACCAGCAAGCATGCTAGTTCCTGGTCCTCTGTGTCCTAGATTGTCTCTGGTTTAGGTTCTTTTCTTTTCCGGGCTCTCTGAAGTTGTTGCATGGTGAGCTGCCTTCCTGGGGCTCTCGGAAGTTTTTTTATTGATTCCTAGCCACTTTCTGTTTTGAAATTTTTCTTTTCTGTTGTTTTTTTTTTTTTAAAGCATACTTATTTTATAAGAGGGGGTTTCTGTGTGACATCTGTACACACTTACACAGCATGTCCCAGTCAACCTAATTCCCTCTGTCACTCTCCTGTCACCTGCAGCACGCTGGCTGCATTGTGTTCCTATAATAGTGCCGCCCACTGCCCCGGTTCTACCACGCTGCTGCTTTTTGGGGTTAGTTTTGCCTCTCCCAGGTTTTGGTAAATATGGAATTACATACTTTGTACTTTTCGTCTTCTTATTCCTCCTCCTCCTCTTCTGCTTCCTCTTTTTCTTCTTTCTCCTCTTCCTCCTCCTTTATTTTGTGCCAGTACTCCCAGATTTGTCTGCCCCTGTTGGTTTTGAACCATAACCCTTAGGTCTCAGTCTCCTGAGTAGTGACTTGGTAAAGGGATGTTCAGCTTAAGTTTTACAATTGAATTCTGTTTACTGTGGTCAAGGAAAGTGGGCTTGTGTGGGTTAGATTCTTTGATGGGGTGTCTCAGCCACCGCTCTGTGAGCACATTTGTTAGTAGCGTTGGCGAGCAGGTTCTGTGCACATGGTGCTTGTGTGGCCAGGGACGGCTGCTGGACTTGGCGATTCTGCCATGTGATGCGGGACTCACCTCCTGCATTTGGGAGGCACACTCATCTCCTGGCAGGGGAGGCTGGCCCAGTCGCTCGTGGCAAGTCTCAGCCACAGAGACCCATTGTTTCTGACTGTAACTGGCCCAGGCTACCAGTGACTCAGCTGAGTTACAGCAGGGGAAGTGGGTCTGGTGGTGAAGTGGAGGTTTGGGCACTGATGTGGGAGAGCATTCGTGTTCATAATACATTGTCTTCTCTTTAGGTAAACCTTAAAATGAGAGAGATAACAGAGAAAGAAGTTAAATTGAAACAGCAGTTACTGGAAAGTCCAGCTCATCAAAAGGTAAAGAGTAAATGTAATTTCTCCGGATTACACTAAGTTAATGTTCCTAGTTTTAGAGTTTCGTGTGTAACTACTGTGTGATTTACTTGTATTCTTCGAGCCTCTGGGTGGGCTGAGTTTTGCTGCCTCCATGAGGAGCGAGTGGTCACAGACAGTCTCCCGTCTTCCCCGGCAGAGGGGCTGTGGTTGTTCAGCGGTAGGAGGGCATGGGCTTCTGGGAAGAGCGGGGTGGCTTGTGAGTAGGGGGTCGGATACCTGGCAGAGTGGAAAGGCAGCGAGCAAGGAGGAATTGCCTGGTGCTCATGGTGCCTGTGCGGATCCTGAAATGGCCCTTGAGGTGCAGTGGCTGTGGGTGTCAGTGCAGATTGCCTGTGTCTTGGGAAGGTGCACATGGTATGTTCCCTGTTTGGGGCATTGGTCTCTTCCCCGGCATCATTTTTCCTTTGCCTCGGGACTTAGTTTCCCTCAGTTAAGTGGCCGTAGTAAGTGCAGACAGGCGCAGCAGGACTGTCTACATGGGCTTGCACTGGGAAGTGAGGTGCCGCCTCACTTCCTCCGCCGGCCTGCTTAGGTCAGGCCTTGGCAAGCGACTGCCTGGCGTGCACACAGCACACACATGGGCACAGGCCAAACTCCTGAGTCAGATGGAAGTCTTCCTTGGCCCCCGGCCTTGCCCATGTTCTGAGTTACTCTTGGTTCTGCGAAGGAGAGTGTGTGGAGGGATGGGCTCCCTGTCGCCGCAGTGTCCGGAGGGCGTGTGCTCTGGAAAGCCTCTGCTTCCCAGAGGCTGTCCTGCCTCTGCGGTGTGAGCACATGGCCCCGGCGTCCCTTGACCAGCTCTGCTGACCTTCCTCTCACCTTCCTTCCCGCTTCCCGAGCAGTCTCCCTCCAAGTGGTATTGGAAGTTAGTGCCCGTAAGTGACCCAGCCGCCAGCCGCCGTCTGCAGAGACATCCTGTTGCCGTCATACGCTTCCATTCAGATCGCTCGCACCCAAACTAGTTTTCATTTATTTTGTTTGTTTTGTTTGTTTGTTTTTGTTTAAATGTCCACCTTCTCCAGTGTGAGCTATGACCTGGCTGGGCTGAGTGGGCGCTGTAATGTGGCACTTTAGAATCCTTAGATGGATTTTGCCCAAGCTCTTACTGACTTCTCTTAAGTGATCAGTGTAGTGTAATGACGGGACATTCTCTTCTTTCTGGTAGACATTGCAAGGACTCTTTATGCTTTGTTCTTCTAAGAATGGTACTTAACATGACCTTCCCTGGTACCCCTGGTGTGGGTTCAAGTAGATTTCAGAGAGGGCTTTTGCTGGCTTTTCCAGTTCCCTGGTCCTCCTCCTGTGGCCTCCCTCCCTAGGTTTGTCCAAAGTGGGGAAGAGTGTCTGCGCTTCTAGGCCGGGATCTGAGTTTGTCAAGGGTTTCTGGAGTTAAAGGCGAATTTCCACATAGATAGGAAAGGAAGTTAAAAATGGATTTGGTTCAGCAGTTTCCCCTTGTGCGCCACCTGGTGGCCCATTTTGGAAGTGGAGCAGTTGCACAGCACTGTAGAAAACACGTTTTCATAGGAGTTTTTGGACACCAGTCTTTTTTAGACTGTGTTGATGTGCCCCTTTGTTTGCTGGATATTGATGGATCTCCACGACTTGGCTCTGGTAGCGTTTACTTTGGGCTCCTTCCTGAGGGGCTCCTGTGGCATGGCTGCCTATGGCCCATCCGAACCTGACCATGCTTCCTGTTGAAGGCCACCTTGCTTCTCTTCGCCTACTTTAGTGAGAACAAGGAGGAAAACATGTTTAATGAGTAATGACATCTGTTAACATCTTGAGCCCTGAACATGATCGGGGTAGAGGCTCCCAACAAACTCGGCTGTCTTATATAAAGGAAGTGTGGTTTCAGATGACTTTGGTGAAAACAGAAAAAAATGTGACCAACCACAGTGCCCTTTTATGAGCGTGCCCATGATTGTCTTCCCATGGTGTTCGGTACATAGGGCACGGAGACAGAGTGGGGTCAAGATTGACAGGTTGTACCTGAACGCCTTATAGCTAGAGGTTTGGAAACACGGATGAGCAAGGCAGTCACGTGAGACCCTTGGGTCCTGCAGCTCAGTGTCAGCCTGATTTTACCCCACGCCATCCATCTTTACTCAAGAAACCATTTGCTTTACTGCATGACTGCTTGCTCCTGTGTCTGCCATCTCTGTGGAAGCCTGGCCTGGCGCATGCTGTGGTGCACTGCATGCTGGAACCCGTGGACTTTGCACGTGTGGTACAGTATGAGGCGGGTTCTCTGTTGTAGTGCGTGCCGTGGAGTCTGAGAAACAAGTTAAAGTGTGTTAGAACTTTTTAAAAAGCATATAACAAGCCTTATCTTTAAATTTGAAAGAATTTTTGGGCTGGTGTGGAGTTACAGTGGTAGATTACTTGCCAAGCCACATGTCAGACTCTGGGTTTGATTCCCACACTACAAAACAACAACAACAGGAGATTCGTAAGAAATGTTTTCTGGTAAGCATACTTACTGAGATAGCAACTTGAAGTCCTAGGTTGTTGAGATACTTCTTCAAGTTGGTCTCATCTGCAGAACGCTCAGGACTCCTGAGTCACTGTAAGTGGCTGGTTTTCGTTCTCTGGTTGCACCATGCATGCTCCCTTCGGAGGACACGCAGTACGTTAAAGCAGTATGGGGTGCCAACGCCATAAGCAGCAGTGCAGTATGACCTCGAGACGTCTCTGCTGAGCACCCTGGGGCTGCAGGAGTGGAGCTGGGGGCTGGCAGAGACAGTGTCCAGACACAGGGCTTCCTCTAAGCGCAGCGCTCCGGAGGCTTCAGACGGATCCATGCACACTCAGTTCAGTGGCCTTCCTTCCCACATGCTTTGTTGCAGTTCTTAGAGCCGTTCCTGGTTACAGAAGGAAACAATTTGTCTAACCAAGTTTCTGAACTTTTTCAAACTACATACTAACACTGTCTTGTAGTTTTTTAATGGCCAAGGTTACCACTCATGGTACTTAGCCTGGTATTCCAAGCATTGGATTTTCACCACTTAACTTGTTTCTCATTAGTTTTTAGTGTGTTGGCTTTTGGTAGTATAGCTGTACGTCTGCCTCCTCCTGTGTGTGCCTACCACCACTAGTGCCAGTGTGGCGTTAGACTGTCCCTGGTGGTGCTGGCAGCGAGCTGCTGCCGGGCAGTACGGTGGAGGCACACAGTCAGTCCCTGGACTTGACCGGCCTATGTGTTCTTGGCAGTGAATGTCACGTAGGCACTCGGAACTTTTCCAGGTGATCATAACTGTTCATGTGTCTCTAGGCTCTGTGTGAATTCTTGCTACAGCAGTGTGCCTGTAATGTACATGGGGGTGAAGCGACCTCACACGCAGAGACCATTTTCCTTTTATCAACTGCAGGTCCGCTATCGGCGAGAGCACCCTTCTGCTAGGCAGTCACCCTACTTCCCGTTGTTGGAGGACTTGATGAGAGACGGCAGTGATGGCGCTGCTCTCTTAGCGGTGGTTCACTATTACTGCCCAGAGCAGATGAAACTGGATGGTGAGTGGAGAATGCACCCCTCAACAGCCCTGGAAGGCCAGTGAAAAGCTTCAGTGTGTGCTGAATGTCCCCATATGAGAGGGAGCGAGGAGCCCCTGAGCACTGTGTCCATGGGAGCTCTAGCACAGGTGCAGCTGTTGAGGGACTTGCTTGGTGTATGCCCGCAAACCTGCATTTTATCTAATGCAGATATTGCCCGTGAATGTGTTTGTACTTTACCTGTGTCTCCTCATGAGTGGCGTGGCCTGGCCATGCCTCCGATTGATTCCAACACCTAGAACTTAAGTCGTGGATGTGGAAGTCAGTGCTGAGTTCAGTCTGTTCGTAGAGCATTTCTGAATGCCTGCCGTGTGACAGCCCAGTGCCACTCCTGTGACAGCCCTGCCCTTGGGTGCTTCTGGGTGGAGTAAAGGGCCACAGGGGCACAGGACCCGAGGCTCCCAGGGTGCTGGGGACTACAACCATGTCGGTGCATCTGGAGTGGGCAGGTGGAAGGCCAGCGGTGTGTCCCTGATGAGGGTTCACACCAAGCGTTGTCTCACACGCCCACCCTGGTGGCTGCGGTAGAGTTCCCACTTCAAGAACAGGAGTGCCAGGTCTCACAGATGGTTCACACAAAATCGTCTTATAGATCCAGAGCTGCTCTTGAAAGACAAGGGCGGGTGGGGAGCTCAAGGCTCCAGGAGGGGTACCCACAATGAGTATATGGGCACCTGGGCCTGTCTGTGGGCTTGAGTCTTTATGTTCACCTTGGGGATGGTGTATGTCAGAGGTTATCCCTAAGCCTTTTGGCGAAAGGGTTACGAAGGCTCTCCCGTCCAAGCCAGCTCCCCAGGTGCGATGTCTAGGGGCCAGGAAGGGAGTGGGTGGAAGGGAGGCTGAGAGGCAGCTCCCCCACATGGCATAGAAATGCCAGGGGAGAAGGGTAGGGTCTGAGTTTGGGGTAGAGTTTCACTGACACAGCACTTGCCCAGCATGCACACAGCCCTTCTGAAAGGGAAGGTCTAGGACTAATGACACTGTGGCGCTGTAGGGATTCTCTCACAGCACTGCTGCTGGGAACATTCTAGAAACCATGCTTTCTAAGGAAACAGCCTTTCACTGACTGACAGCGCCACGTCAGGCCTCATACCCAGGTGGGTGGACAAGAACGCAGTGTGCACCGTGATGGAGGTCCTGGAGGGGAAGAGGCTGCAAGGAAAAAGGGCGGCGACGCAGCTCCTCCTCCACTGCTGCTGCATCCTTGGCTTCCCACCTCTCGCTGTCCCGCCGCGGGGGCACTGTCGGGCCCACCGTGTAGCTCGCCAGGGCCTATTCAGCGTAGCCGCCTCGCAGCCCGGCCACTGGGGACAGACTCCATACACGGACAGAACTGCAAGGAGAAGCTGACAGAGCTACACATCACTTCACAGAAACTGACGGGGGAAAGTGTTTAAGGAAGACCATAAAAGACTTGAACACAAAATGAAGCTTGTACCAGTCAGCGTACCAACCATTGTGGCACATGCCTTCCTAAAAAAATAAACAAGGGCTGGCCCTGGCTGCTCACACCGTAACCTAGCTGTTCAGGAAGGTGAAGTGGTTTGAAGCAGTAGGGGGAGGGAAAGTTCATGAGACTCTTACCTCCAGTTAACCACCTCCCCGCCCCCCTCCCCCATAAAAAACTAAAGTTTGAGCCATGGCTCAAGTGGGAATAGCACCCAGGTCCTGAGTTCAAACTCCAGGACTGGCAAAAAAAGGAAAATAAATAAGTACATATGAAAGCATTTATAAAAAGTGAACTTATTCTAGGCCGCTAAGGAAACCCTGACAGATCCCAAAGCATTAGTACATCTTCCTGTGCAGGTTAGAAGTTGGTACATAGGTGTGACCTTTGTCTACACTCCTCTGAAGCAAGAGTGGAGCTGGGACCAGAGACGCTGTTTACAGATGTGTCGTGGGCCACAGAGGATGTGAGTGGAGTTGCTCCTTGCGTGCTGCCAGGGCAGCCGCTCTTACCTCTGCTGTTCCTGACATAGCCCAGCCATCGGAAGTAACACCTGGGCACATTTGTTAAACAAGGGACAAATGTTAGCTTACCAGAACTTGCAGGACGGTTGAAGGGGATGTAGTCGGGGTATGTTGCCTCAAGTCCATACTTTGGAATTAATGAATTATGTTTATTGCAATGCATTAGAAAAGAAGTATTCTCAAAGAAAGCTGAAGGAATGGCTGGGCATGGTGGTGCGTGCCTGTGATCCCAGCCACATGGGAGAGGCAGGAAGAGCTTGAATTTAAAGCCAGCTGCAGCAAAGTTACTATCTAAAAGCAAAAAAGGCTGGTGGTGTAGCCCAAGTGTTAGAGAGGGCATGTAGCATGCATGAACCCCTAGGCTCAGTCCCTAGTACTGCCCCAGACCAAAAATTTGAAAGAGGAAAAAATGCTTATTTCTCTAGTAAAAATCACTTCAAAACAAAGCAGGCAAACAGCTGTGTTGCAAGTCCCATGGTGGATAAAACTTAGACATCTCTTCACTCTGAACAGCAGACCCAACTGATCAGAAAGCAGAACGGAAGGGCAAGATGGCTCACTGCTAGACTCCTGGAGCTGTAAAGTAAAAGCTGTGGCACACTGGTGCCTGGGAGTATCTTTGAAAGTTGCTCTGAAGAGTAGGAAGAATCCAGGTCTCCTCTGCTCCTAACTAGCATGAGGTTGGGGTAGGGTACGCCGTTTGGTGGCCAGCCACCAGGGCAGGAGGGGGGAGCGATGCCGGCTCACCTGCGCCGCCAGCCTTCCTCCCAACCAGTCCCCTGCAGCACAGCCCGCTTCCTGATGCTTCTCTCCTGACCACAGAGGACGCGCAGGTGTCCACAGATCCCGCCGTCTGAGGAAAGCCCTGACCAGAATCAGCACCCCCGCCACACAGACAGCGCCAAATAAGATGCAGGGATGAGAGGGACTGGAAAAGAAGGCCTAGAACACATTGAACCGCTGTGTCTGGAATTACTTCTTAAAGAGGTCCAGAGAGGGGTGTATTTGGTTGTGCCAAAATGTAAGAATTCACTGAAGAGCTAGAAGACAATTGGAGAAATTGCTCAGAAAATAGACCCCCTCTCCCCCAAAAAAGACATGGGAAAGGGTAGAAAATACAGAGGATAGTTATAGGAAGTTAGAAAAAGCAGGAGGATGCAGTCAAGAAAGAAAAAAAAATAGGGGAATGTCCTAAGGAAGACCTAGATATTGCCACCTGCCCTGCGGCCAGTGTGATTGTTAAAGGAGATGAAGCAGGTCACATAGGACACGTTATGAATCTGTATGATGCCACACACCCCACACACAGTCCTGAGAGCAGGACAGTGGCGGAGCCCCTCCTCCTGTGAGAGACTGAGCAGAGTGCTGTCGGCTCCAGGGGACGCCAGCCGGCTGTGTATTAAGTCCTCTGGGAAGCACACCAGCGCTCAGGACCAAGGTGAAGATAAGGAAGGTGCGCCTCGGAGCTCCCAGCTAGACAGAGGCAGCTGTTCCATCCAGGAGACACAAAAGTTTCTGAAGGAGCACAGGAGAGGTTTTGTGTACCTCCACTATGGAGACAGTCACGTGGTTACTGGCTGGAAGCGCAGATCTGCAGTGTGGCTGTAGGGAGGCCAGTGTGAGGGAGGGAGGGAGAACAGGGCTCGACTGGAATAACAGGTGCATGCAGTCAGCTCCTCAGTGCAGGTGGAATCGGGTAGAATATTCTCAGGAGAATGTAGGGCCTCAGGAGAGGGTAGGGTTGGCAGAGGACTTTTTATTACAGTTTAAAAAATCTTTTTTTTTTTTTGTCGGTCGTGGGGCTTGAACTCTGGGCCTGGGCGCTGTCCCTCAGCTTTTCAGCTCTAGCCGAGCGCTCTACCACTTGAGCTACAGCGCCACTTCCGGTTTTCTGGTGGTTTATTGGAGATAGGAGTCTCACGGTCTTTCCTGCCCGGGCTGGCTTTGAACCGCAATCCTCAGATCTCAGCCTCCTGAGTAGCTAGGATTACAGGCGTGAGCCACCAGCACCTGGCTAGTTTAAAAAATCTTATATGGCATTTTTAAAATTTAGTTTTTTAACTTGTTATTATAAAGAATATGTACAGAGGGTTAGAGTTACATAAGTCAGGTGAAGAGAACATTTCTTGTTGGACAGTCACCCCTGCCCTCACTCCCTCCCAGCTTTCCCCTCTTATGTGGCATTTTAATGACTTTGTGTACCTTATTAAGATAAGAATTAAAGTATTAGATTAAGGAAAAATAAAAAAATTTCATGTTTTAAAGAGAATATATAAAACTAAAATTCTTTTAAAGGATTAATCCGACAATCTTTGGCAAAGATCCTAAAAACAGGAAAACTTGAAGGATATAACAAATGAGATATAAGCACTAATCTAGTAGATAATTCAAGAAAGGTGACTGAGATTATTAGTGTGTCATGAACATGTGGCGTGGTAGGTGTGACACGTGCAGTTGTCTAACCACAAAGGAAATGGACTCAGGAGTCCAGGACAGCCCTGTGGGCTGGCATGTCGCTGGCTGTTTTCTCTGGCTCTGAAGAGATTGACTGCTTCTGTTGTGTGAACTCCCAGAGAATAGGAAGAGATGGAAGGCGCCCTCGCTCTTTGTGAGAGAGGGCCATTCCCTGGCACTATGAATAGATCACAAGAGGGCAGTGACAGGCTGGCTTTCCAGAAATACTATGTGAAGTATTAGAAGACAAGAATAAAAATGGAACATACTGTAATGGCTGTCTGAATGTGAGTTAGTGACTTGATTTAACGTGACAGTGGTAGAGACCCTAGGCTGCTGCACATGTGCCCCTGACAGACAGTAGAGTGGTTTAGGAGGCCAGACAGAGGGGCCTCCCCCAGCCTGGCTCCTGGCCCCAGGGCTGCTGGGTTCCCTGCTTCATATACAGCAGCATCAACTCAGTGTAAATGTCTATTGCAAAACAGGGAGGTTGGAAAGAACCTGAGAATGAAGTCAGCAAAAGGGATGCAAGAAAAAAAATTAAAATATAAAAGCGAAAATATGTTAAAAAGCTGTTAAGAGCAACTGTCTTGACTTACGCTTGTAATCCCAGCTACCTAGGAAGCAGAGATTGGGAAAGATCACAGTTTGAAGCTAGACTGAGCAAAAAGGGAATCAGGACTCTGTCTCAGCAGTTAGGCCTGACACAGTGCACACTGGTGATCGCGGCTCTGCAGGAGACCTAATGGAGGACCCTAGTCTGAAGTCCACCTGGTCTGACAATGAAACCAAAGTGTGGCCCAAGTGGTAAGCACGTGTCTAGTAAGCACGAGGCCCTGGGTTCAAACTCAGGACAGCTGTCAGAATAAAGTAGGAAACTTCCTGACAGTGCATGGGAGGAAGAGACTTAAACATCCTTCATCATGGAGAATCAGAATCCTAAAAATTACAATTTCTCGAGATTGTTCTGTAAATTTATTGCCAGTCCAGTAAATACTTTGTTTTCACAGAAATTGACCAGTCAAGGGCTGCGAAGGTGGCTTAGTGGTAGAGTACTTGCCTAGCATACATGAAGCCCCGGGTTCTATTCCTCAGTACCACATACACAGAAAAAGCCAAACTGGTCAAAAAAGGAAAAATAAGAAATTGACCAGTCAACCCAAAACTTGTGTGGAGTAGCAGGGGTCAAGGAGCAAAGTGAACACGTTATTCTGATGGAGGCTTAATGCCTGCTCGTGTCTTACCAGACTCCCCCAGGGTAGTGGCTTGTCGTATTGCATCTGAAGAGGGTAGAGGCTTCTCCACAGATTGACTCCCTCAGACTTCCTACTAGCTTTCACTTGCCACCATTTCTGGCCTCATTTTTCCTTCAGGAGAGGGCCCTTAGCGTCTACTCTCATAGGTTCTGGGTCTCCAAGCTTTTTCCTGGTCATGGCCTGTGTTGGTGTTGAGGTGGTGGCATTGGGCATTGAGTCAGTCTGGTGTTGCAAGAGGCCTGTGTGGTGCCTGCCATGCACCAGGCGGTATGAGGGTATGGCCGCTCTCTCCTCTGGAAGACGTTAGTTTGCTTCTTCGTGGGAAAAGGCTTTGGGCTGCGAATTCCTTGCCCCCCCCCCCCCCATTTGTTACTCACCCACCACAGTTGTCACCACTCTGGTTCCATCCTCCTTCTCTTGTTTACTAAAGCACTCTGCTGCCCGAAAAGACTTCTCCTCCATCAGTGGTGGTTTTATTCGTAGGTGGAAGTGTGGGGTTACAACCTCGTAGACTTATTCAGTGAGTTATAACCCTTTTCTTTCACCATTTGTTGCATTGCTGATGTTATTCCAGATGTCAGCCAAGTTACTTTTGGACAATAGGAACTTGGAGGCTTTGCTCTAAATTTGACACTTGCTAAAATGGTGGGTGGGCTTTGGTGTGGGAGAGTCACATGGAAGCAGAGACTCTACCTTCCACCCAGGAGAGACGCTGCCCAGCTTGCTGGTGAGGGGCTTCGGGGACTAAAGCAGCATGCGACCTCCACACCCCCATGTGAGGCAGGAAAGCGCAGACTTCTAAATCCCTGAACGAAGAACCAGCCCCTTCTTCCCTTTATTGCCAGGGATGGAAGCCAGGGCATGGTCCAGCAAACATTGTCCTGTACCAAGCCTGGCCCTCCCTGTTCACTGGGCAGAGCAGCAAGCGTGTGTCCTCAGTGCAGTTGCCTCCCTGGTGTGAGCGGCTCCTGCTGCAAGCTGGGACGCGGGAGGCCCGGGGGCTGCTGCCTGTGCTCTCAAGTCCTAAACTGCCCTGTCCCAGAGTGTGGCAAGGCACTCACCACCTGCAGGGGAGGCCGAGCGTTCCTGACCTCTGGCCTTGGTGCTTGTGCACTTGTCCCTGCCCCGTCCTTTGCAAATACAGAAATACCCCATGCAGAGTGTTTTCTTTTGTTGAAGGCCGTGGCAGCTGGGCCCTTGGAAACCTGAACCCAGTCTTAAAAATCTCATGTGATTTCTGTTACTGATGCTTAGTGGAAAATTAAAATTCCCAACTTAGAGATTTTTCTGCTTTTTCCTTGAACGTGTGTCCCTTGTAAAGCTTTACTCTATTTTTTTAAATCTAGCATCATACTCCTCCTCAGTGCCTCCACTCCCTCCGTATAAAATGGTTCCGATCAGAATTCTGTATTTACACACGGCCTTAGGAAGCGGAGTGCAAGCACACTGGGTTCTGACTGTCTGCGTCCATCCATTAGATATCTGCCTAAAGGAGGTGCCCTCTATGGCCGACAGCCTGTATAACATCCGGCTCCTGCGCGAATTTTCCAGTGAGCATCTGAACAAGTGCTTCTATCTCACCCTGGAGGACATGCTGTACGCGCCTCCCGTGCTGAAGGTAGGGCACACACCAGCCGCGAAGCCCGGGTGTGGAACAGCAGAGCAATGTGTGTTTATGATGGCCTCTTGCTTTTGCTTTTCTGTTTTAGCCAAATGTCATGGTTTTTATTGCCGAGCTCTTCTGGTGGTTCGAGAATGTCAAGCCGGATTTTGTTCAGCCCAGGGATGTCCAGGAGCTGAAGGATGGTGAGTGGCCTCCTGGGGCCTCCGCTGTAGTTTCCTAACTGCAGCAGCTGTGCACTCATGGGGCCTTGGAAGAGCTGCATTCTGGCGCCTAGGGCAGATCACCAGCTGGGCTTGCATTTTTGTCTGCTCTTATAGTCCGGGCTTTGCTTTTTAATTTGGCCTAATACTTGTAGCACTGACACTAACATTTAACTTGAAACCAATTGTGGGCCAAGTTTGTAAAAGTTGAGTTGTTCTGTGCTTATTGATGCTCCTGGGTTTGTTTCTTGGAGTTATGGGTAACTATCAGTATTGTGACTGAGTCTGTAAAAACTGCTGTTTCTGCAGCTAAAACAGTGTTACAGCAGAAGTGCACCCGGCCTCCTGTCCCTATCTCCAACGCGACCAAACGCAGCTTTCTGGGCAGCCCCGCCGTCATGAGCCCCGCTGACCTGCCGGCACCCAGCCAGCCTGTGGTGGAAGGTGGGCACCGGTACCTCCTCCACCCTGAAGAGCCCGAGTACCTGTGAGTTGCTTATATGTACTATCCTAGTTCCTTTTTCTTGGTAACTTTTTTTTTTTGTCGGTCATGGGGCTTGAACTCTGGGCCTGACGGCTGTCCCTCAGCTCTTCAGCTCAAGGCAAGTGCTCTACCACTTGAGCTACAGTCGTTTTCTGGTGATTGATTAGAGATAAGAGTCTCATGGACTTTACTGCCTGAGCTGGCTTTGAACCAAGATCCTCTCTCGGGCCTCCCGAGGATTACAGGGGTAAGCTTCAGGGTATTTTTAAAGAAGTGATTGTCATCATTAAGAGCTAGTGTTCACGGATGTGTGGGCTAGATTGGCACTGAGTGGACGAGAAGATCAGTGGAAACTTGGGATGGAGATAGAGAAGTCTCGCTTGGGATAAACATGAACACATGCTGAGTGAGGGTGGGGTAGGAGCTTGTCTGTGACTCGGTCTGGAGCAGATTAACACACCCACTCACATGGCGGTTATTTACACACACTCACACAAATACATTTATGAGATTTTACTGTGCTGAGGATAGAACCCAGGGCCTTGTACATGCTAGGCATGCACCCCACCACTGAGCCATATCCCCAGACTGGGGTTGGTTAGAATGGAAGGTGAGAATGGCACTCAAAAGCCATTTTAAGTCGTGCCTGCAGCTGAGTGACTGCCTGAGACCCGAGGCTAAGGAACTATGGATGTCTGGGTGGAGGAGGGGGGCACCGGCAGTGTTGGGCTGCAGGAGGAAAGACTAGGCAGAGGCCTGAGAAGCTGCTGGGGCAGTGCTGTGGAGAGGCTTGGTGTCTTCTGTGTGGGCAAGAACCAGTGGCACTTCCCTAGAGCGGCAGTGGCTACGGTGGCTCAGCCCTGGACCAAAGTGGGTTGTTGGGCAGTGCTGGTGTTTGAGGGCAGAGCTATGGGGCCGGGGCCCGTGCGGGCAGCTCCGTGATCACACTGGCACTTGCAGAGCACACGTGGGAGCAGAGGTTGACGTTAAGCAGAATCGGTGTGACCAGGCTGACCTCTGTGACTGGTTTTCTTGTCACTGAGTTGTGAGGACTTCCCATTGCCGCTTCTCTTCTGCTCTGGTTTTAGTGAATGTGGCATGTACCACAGGGACGCCATGCCGTGGTTTGTAACGTTTGTCTATAGACAAATGTGCGGGGTTCCCCTGCTCTGCCCGGCCCCCTGGGCTCCCCGCACCTCCCCCTTCTTTGCTCTCCTTAGAGGCAGGCGTGCTAGCTGTGGCTCAGGATGCCGAGTGTGAGCCTCTCCAGCCTGCCCTCACCTTGCTCCTTGTCCCGGCCTCAGTGGCCACCCCACTTGTGCGCGGGCTTCCTGGGGGTGCCTGGGGCTTGCACGCTGTGGTGGCGGTGCTCAGTGGCCACACTGCTGAGCCCATCGGTGCTGCCTCTGCGCCTGGCGTGCCTTGCCCCGGGCCTCACGGTGGCCGTGCGGCCATGCACACGTGCACCACTGGCCCTTCTTCCTAGGCCTCACCCAAGAAGTAGTGTGGCTGCCCATGCTTTCTGGAGGTCTCCGTGGGTGTTGCCACACTGCTCCAAAACATGCTCGGAGTTGCACTCCTGCTAGCAGTGTAGGAGTGATGGGTCGGCCACCTTTAGGTCACTAATCAGCATTTGCTGAGTTGGTTCAGCACAGTAGCATCATCTTTGGGGTCTTTTTTTAGTTTGTTTTGAGATAGGGTCTTGCTCTTGTAACCCAGGCTGGGCTGACCTTGAACTTCCGGTCCTCTCCATTGCTAGAATTACAGGTGTGCACTACCACATTGGTTGTGGTCTTCTTTGTCACTAAAGTTCACTTGTTTTCCACTGAACCAGTAATACATAGTCTTGAAAACTTTAAGAACAATTGGTTTTCCTACTTTCATTTTTATTGCTCAGAAGGTAGTCTTTGTTATAGTCTTGAATTTTGTTTGGAAATTGGAAACCGGTTTGTGTCCCACACTATCACCAGAAGCCAGCATGTTCCCCTGCTTGCAGCCTTTGTGTTTGTATCAGCTTTATAGAAATGAATTCTTAGAGCCTTGCGAGTCGCTCCGGCTCAGGAGGAGGCCACGCCAGGCTCTGTTGTTTCATGCTTTCCTTTCCAATTCTCTCTCCATTTAGTGGGAAAGGAACTTCCGCCTTTAGCTCTTCCCACCCTCTATTGCCACTGAGGCAGAAGCAGCAAAAAGCGGCACAGGCAGAGGACACCCCGGGTGAGTGTGGCACCCTCTTCTTCCCCTTTCGTTACATCCTTCCTAGGGTTTACTAAAATAGTACGCCCCAGTTCAGTTTTTATTCTGACATAGTCTTTTCAGTTATCAATAGCAGAATCAATTTTAATCTATATTGCTGTGGCTTTAGAATGTGAGAATGTTAACAAAATCTAAGAAGCCTTGCGTAGTACACACGGAAATGCTGGGGTGTGCCCGAGTGAGAACTTACGCAGTGAAATGGTGACGTGAAGTTCTTTACTGTTAGTGCAAATGATGGCTATTATACCATGCATTACTTTCCACTTGAATTACTCGGAGCTGTGTTGTCTTGATGATCTGCAGTTTCGTGGACAGAGTCAGGATTCATCTGCTGGGGAAACGGTTATTGCGGAAAGGCTTTCAGGCTCACACTTGGTTACTTAGCACTGAATGTTCTTTCTTCTTCTGCAGATCAGCGGCATCGGTCTAACTCTTTAACCCGAGTCGATGGTCAGCCTCGAGGCACAGCGATAGCATGGCCAGACAAGAAAAACAGGTGATTCTCTAGAGGAGCCCCGGGGAGCCCGCAGGGTCAGAGGCCCTCTGCCTGCCCCACGCGGCCAGCACCCGATGCCCTGCCACCTGAGTCCTCTCCCTGCCCCACGCGGCCAGCACACGATGCCCTGCCACCTGAGTCCTCTCCCTGCCCCACGCGGCCAGCACACGATGCCCTGCCACCTGAGTCCTCTCCCTGCCCCACGCGGCCAGCACACGATGCCCTGACACCTGAGTCCTCTCCCTGCCCCACGCGGCCAGCACACGATGCCCTGACACCTGAGTCCTCTCCCTGCCCCACGCGGCCAGCACACGATGCCCTGACACCTGAGTTCTCTCGTGGGGACAGCTGGGTTTTCCCAGAGACCACGTTACTTGGGTGGCAGCACGGGGAGTCAGATGTTGCATTTCGCATGGTGAACAATGGCTCCGGTGTCCCCAGTCACTTGTAAGGGGGTGTTCAAAGAGGTCCTGGGACCAGAATGCTTGAAAATCACTGAACTGAAATCACCTGTGGTTTTCTTACGTGTCACGTGTCGGGCATTTGTGTTCGCTCTTCCGAACTGGAATTTCCTCCCCTCCTCAGGCCGTGTTGAGGCTGGCTCATGGATACATAGTATATCCTGTGGCTTTTTTCTCCCTGTTTCAGGCCTGTGTCCCAGCCAACACCTTTTGCTCTCCACCATGCTACAAGCTGTGACGTGGACCCCAGCTCCGGTGACAGCATCAGCTTGGCCCGTTCCATCAGCAAAGACAGCCTGGCATCCAACATCATCCACCTGACCCCACACAACCAGCCTGACCCTGCTGCTGGCAAGAGCGATGGAAGGAGTCTCCTGAGCAATGTCAACATGGACGATGAGGAGGAGGAGCTGGTGGCCATCATCAGGACGGATGTGTCTCCCCAAGGTGGTGACCCGGAGGCCCCGCGGGCCTCGCCTCGGGCGCTAGGCCTGATGGCCACTGCCAGGTCTCCCCCGAGGCCGGCAGACACCTTGGAGAGTAAGTCCGATAGTTTCTTCCTAGAGCCTCTGATGCCAGCAGTGCTGAGGCCAGCGAAAGAGAAGCAGGTGACTACGAAAGAGGACGAACGTGGGGAAGGGAGGCCCCGGGGGGCCCCAGCCAAGAGGGCTGTCGAGGGCACCCAGCCTCTGGTGCGGAAGAAAGCGGCCAGCAGCCACGGCGGTCGTGACTTGAACAGGACTTTCACCCCGATTCCTTGTTCAGAACTTACTGCGAGCGTCGACCCCACTGAGGAGGGATCACGGTTATCAGAAGCCACAGGAGAAGTGCATGGGGGGCCTGTGACTGCTGGTGGATTCGATCCTTTCCCTCAGAGGCAGGCTGATGGCTTCTTCCTTCATGTAGGCAGGACTGACGAGGACACAGAGGGGAGGTTATACGTGAGCTCCCAGAGCCCCAGCTCCCACGACTCAGAGCCGTGGACGATCTTGAGGCAGGACTCGGACTCTGATGTGGTGGATGTGGATGATGCTGAGCAGGAGTTCCTGGGGGAGGACCGCGCTGTTCTGCTTCCCAGATACACTGGTGAGGAAGAATCGGCCAAGCTGCAAGAGGATATGAAGGTAAAGGAACACGAAGATAAGGACGACGCCAGCGGCCGCTCGAGCCCGTGTCTGAGCACGACCTCTCAGCTCAGCAGCATGTCTGTGGCAAGCGGCAGCGTGAAGATGACCAGCTTCGCGGAGCGCAAGCTCCAGCGCCTCAACAGCAGCGAGACCAAGTCCAGCACCAGCAGCTCCCAGAAGACCACGCCGGACGCGTCGGAGAGCTGCCCGGCGCCTCTGACGACCTGGAGGCAGAAGAGGGAGCAGAGCCCCACTCGGCACAACAAGGACCCTGCCAGCCTGCTGGCATCCGAGCTGGTCCAGCTGCACATGCAGCTGGAGGAGAAGCGCAGAGCCATCGAAACCCAGAAGAAGAAGATGGAGGCGCTGTCGGCACGACAGCGCCTGAAGCTGGGCAAGGCTGCCTTTCTGCACGTGGTGAAGAAGGGCAAGGCCGACGGCACCCCGCAGCCCCTGCGGCCCGAGCACTTCACCAAGGAGTACACGCAGCACAATGGCGAGGACGTGGGTGACACGGTGGCTAACGCGGAAGGCTTTCTCAAGGAAGAGCAGAGAGATGCCAGTGAGGGCCCAGATGTGGACAGAGAAAGCTTGACCTTGGCCCAGCTTCATAAGCCCAAAGACCCCTCGGCTCTGCCTGATGTAGAGATGCACAGGGCGCTCTCTGCTGCTCTCCTCGAGGACAGTGTGGAGGAGGAGATGGTGGTGGACGTGAGCGAGGGTGACCTGTCCATCGAGAAGCTGAGCGAGACCATCAGCACGCTGCAGCAGGCCATACTGAAGATCTCCCAGCAGCAGCAGCAGCTCCTCCTGAAGTCCCCGGCGGTGCCCATGCCAGGCTCCAAAAATCACTCCCAGGACCAAAAAGTAAAGGCCCCTGTCCACTTCGTTGAGCCCCTGTCCCCCACCGGAGTGACTGGCCACCGCAAACCACCCCGGCTCGGCCAGGGCCGGAACTCACGTTCGGGAAGGCCAGCTGAGCTGAAGGTTCCAAAAGACAGGCAGCCGGGCTCCTCCCGGAGCAAAACCCCAACACCCAGTGTGGAGACGCTCCCACACCTGCGATCTTTTCCTCCAAGCAACCACCCACGGACGCCCTCTGACCCAGGTGTGGACAGTGTCACAGACTCTGGTGGGAACCCCTCTGAGAAGCATCTCTTTGACAGTTACAGGCTCCACGATGAAAGCAACCAGCGGGCATTGGTTCTGCCCTCCTCGAGAGATGCTAATGTGCTCTCGGAGCAGGGGACCTGCCAGGAGAGCTTGGACCCAAGCGTGAAAGAGGCGGGGCTCAGTGTCTCGGCCATCTCGGGCAAAGAGAATGTCCTTGTGGAAGAGCCCCTGAAGAGCAAGGCCAGCCTCATCGAAGTGGACCTTTCGGACCTGAAGGCCCCCGATGAGGATGGTGAGCTGACGGGCCACGAGAGCTCTGTGGTGCTCATCGGCGACGGCGACCAGAAGCCTGTGGTTGGCTTCTTCTTCAAGGTAAGCAAGTCCGGAGTGCATCTGTCTAGGGGCCTGGGAGGCCAAGAACAGGAGAATTGCAGTTGGAGGCCAGCTGGGGCAGGAAAGTTCATGAGACCCTTTTCTTAACCCACAGTTGGGTACAGCGGGGTGCACCTGTCATCACGGGCTAAGATTGGGAGGAAACTCTGTGAGACTCCACTTCCACAGAAGGAAGCTGTGTGGTCCTGCGCCCGTGATGTAGCGATGCAGGAAGCCGAGTAGGTGGGTGGTAGCTCAGGCCGTGCCCGGGCAGGGGGAAGACCTTGCCTCAGAACACCAGGGCTGGCATCGCTCAGTGCTACCGTGCTGGCACAGCACTTGCCCTGCCCCCACTCCACAAGATACTTCCAGAACAAGCCAGTCTGTGGCTGTGGGCATGCCTACCACAAGGCCTCACCTTGCCAAGAATAGCCACAGTTGTGGGTAGAAAACCGTGGCATGACTTGACCAATACAGCTTTTCTCTTAGACCTGAAGTTTGAGTTTCATGTAGTTTTCTTGTTTTGCCTAATGTTTTTCTTTAATGGGGTTTCAGCCATTAAAAAATACAAAAATTGGTATGCCGGGTGCCGATGGCTCACGCCTGTCATCCTAGCTACTCAGGAGGCTGAGATCTGAGGATCACAGTTCAAAGCCAGTTTGGGCAGGAAAGGCCATGAAACTCTTGTGTCCAATAAACCACTCAGAAAACCATAAGTGGTGCTGTGGCTCAAGTGGTTGTTGAACCCTAACCCTAACCCTAACCCTGCTCACCTTGAGCTGAAGAGCTGAGAGATAGCGCCCATGCCCCGAGTTCAAGCCCCATGACCAACATACATACATACATACATACATACATAAAAATTGGAGCGGGGAATATGGCTCAGTCAGTGGTAGACTGCTTGCCTAGCATGCATGAAGCCCTGAGCTCGATTCCTTAGTACCACATATATAGAAAAAGCCAGACATGGTGCTGTGGTCTAGTTCCCAAAAATGGTGCAAAAAATACCTGGCTGAGATCTGGCCAGGGCAGAAGTTTGCTGTCAGGTGTCTGGCATCAGTCCCGGCAGACAGAAGCTTTAGGGGTGTCTTTGCTGTGTCATGCACATTCCATTCTTCTGTAGAGATGAAGGCGGCGTGAGCTGCTCTTAGCTTGTGGCTGGCAGGGTTTGGTCTCCGGACGCCCTACACACGGGCTTCGGCTCACACAGACTGTGCGCTCCTATGAACACAGTGCTGGCTGTGGCCCGTACTGTGGAAAGATGCATAGTGCTTCAGATAAACTGCACTTGAGATGAGGTGTTTGGAAACGTGGACAATTTAGTGCCTTTTAGATTAGCATGGCTTCTTTTTCTATTGTTTTGCGTTCAAGAAAGGTATTTTGCATTCATGGTTGGAAAAGAAGAAAAGCCGGGTGCTGTGGCTCCCGCCTGTCATCCTAGCTACTCCAGAAGCTGAGGTCTGAGGACCGTGGTTCAAAGCCAGCCCGGGCAGGAAAGTCTGTGAGACTCTTAGCTCCAATGAGCCACCCCAAAACGAGTGGTAGAGCGCTGGCTTTGAGAGGAAAAAAAAAAAAAGCTCTGGGACAGCACCCAGGCCCTGAGTTCAAGCCCGTGACCAACAGAAAATAAAGAAAAGCTGTGGACCAGCCACACGTTAGGACCTTCAGAGTGTGCTGACATCGGGGCTGGCCGGCTGGGGGTGTCATTCCATTGCTTCACTCTCACAGTGAGGGGACCCTACTTTGTAGGACGAGCAGAAAGCAGAGGATGAGCTGGCCAAGAAGCGGGCGGCCTTCCTCCTGAAGCAGCAGCGGAAGGCCGAGGAGGCCCGCGCTCGCAAGCAGCAGCTGGAGGCTGAAGTGGAGCTGAAGCGTGACGAGGCCAGGTAGCCCTGTCCTCTCCTCCCGCACAGCCCTCCCCCAGTGCCCAGGGGAGCAGGCTGGCTGCAGAAGGAGCAGGGTGGCTGGGGCCAGGCGGGCATGTCCCCGTCACAGCAGTCTCTCCTGGTCACCTCCTTCTGCTTCTCAGGCCTGCAGTCTCCTTTCGCCACCTGCTAACCACGAGTAAAGTCTGTGAGGCTCTCTCTTGAGTCCTCCCCTCCCCCCCCCCAAAGGTTTCCAGTTCCCAGCTATACTTTGTCCCCATTATAATGCTGGGAACAAGATATTATGACCACAGTCACACCTGCCCCCCTGGATCTGCCAGGAGACTCTAGGAACAGGGCTGGGGCTGGAGCTGGGGCATCGGGGCATGGGAGTGGGGCTGGTGGTTTGATCTCTGGAAGAGCCCTTCCAGCACTGCCTCTCATGAACCCATTTTGTTCTCAGGCGTAAGGCAGAAGAAGACCGAATACGGAAGGAGGAGGAGAAGGCCCGGCGGGAGCTCATCAAGCAGGAGTACCTGAGGAGGAAGCAGCAGCAGATCTTAGAGGAGCAAGGACTTGGCAAACCGGCCAAGTCCAAGCCCAAAAAGCCAAGGCCGAAGTCTGTGCATCGAGAAGAATCCTGCAGTGACTCAGGAACCAAGTGCCCCTCCACCCGTAAGGGGCACTTTATCTGAGCGAGGCGGGAAGGGGGTGCTGGGGTGCGCATGCATCTGGGGTGCAGGGAGGGACCGGGTGGATCTGTTGAAAGCTTTGCCTGACCCTTGTCCCTGCAGCCGATAACTTGAGCCAGACTCATTCCGGCTCCAGCCTGTCCCTGGCCTCTGCAGCTACTACGGAGCCTGAGAGCGTTCACTCGGGGGGCGCCCCTTCGCATCGGTGAGTGCCCGGCGGCCCCTCGGGGCACCCAGTTCCGAGTGGGGATGGAGGAGTATCTCGCTGCTTTTCCCGAGCTATCATCAGACCTAGATAGCTGATCATTTTTCAGGCTATTGTGAATTTTTTTTTTCTGGTTTCTTCCTTGGCCTACTCATTTTTTGTCAGATAGCAAAGGTACTTACTGATTTTCCTTTAAGAAAAATAAAAGACTGTTGTTTATTGTGCCAGACTTGGGGCTGTTTAGCTCAGGGCCTGGCTGCTGTCCCTGAGCTTTTTTGCTCAAGGCTAGTAGTGGTCTGCTACTCGAGCCACAGTTCTGGTTCCAGCCCTTTGGTGGTTAATTGGAGATGAGAGTTTCACGGACTTTGCTGCTTGAGCTGGCTTTGAACTGAGATCCTCAGATCTCAGTCTCTTGAGTAGTTAGGATTGCAGGTGTGCACCACTGTGCTTGCAGTCACCTTTTTTACTCTGGGCTTTAAGAGGCCCTGTCCAGCCCTGAGGCCTGGCCCACTCCTGTGAATTGTTGGCCTTTTGTCCTAATAGGGCCTGGCCCTGGCCCTCACCCTTGCCCTGGGTTCTCTCTTGGGCCAGGCCATCCTGTCACCACCGTGTTTCCTGCCTCTTGTCCCCTGGTTTCTTGTCCTCTGGGTTTTTCAAGGACTCCCACTGGAACCTGGGCCTGTCTGACCAGTTACCCACCTGGGTCCCCCATTCCTGTCTGCCCTGAAAGTGGGGTCAGCTTAAAGTCAGCGCTTGTGTTGGGCTTTTAGCCCTGGCATCTGTGTGCATGGCGGAGGCTCCCTGAGGGGACAGGCGCCAGCGAGCGCCTGAGGCGAGGCCACCGTGCCCTCGCCCCCTGGTCTGCGGTCTGGTGGACCTCCAGTGGCTGTGGCGCCTGTGCCCTCGGTGAAGGCTGGTGGGGCAGAGTGCTGTGGAGGTGCGGACCCCTCCGCCTCGCATCACGGCAGCCTTGCTCCGCGGAGCGCCACGAGCCGCCAGCCTGAGCGCTCGTCCCAGCAGCAGCCAGGGGCTGGCGTGGTGGGAAGTGTGGCTTGTGTCTCTACTGTCCTTCTCTGCTCACAGAGTGGAGTCCTTGGAAGCCCTGCCCATCCTGAGCCGCAACCCGAGCAGGAGCACAGACCGAGACTGGGAGACGGCGTCTGCAGCTTCCTCCCTGGCCTCCGTGGCTGAGTACACAGGTGACGCACACACATGCTCCTTACACGGGTGACAGCACGCACATACGCATGCTTCTTACACAGGTGATGGCAGGTACATACACGTGCTCCTTGCACAGGTGATGGCACACAAAGCACACTCTTCTCACGTGGGTGACTGTGCACGCGCTTCTAGAGGAGGTTATCTGCAGCAGCCAACTACCTTGGAACGTCCTTAACTGGGGCTAAAGGTGTTTTTCTAGTTCTTTGAGTGGAAAGCTGTGTGTGACTGCTGGTGGCCACCGTGGGGCACTGGAGAGCCTCTCCCCGCCACTGCCCCCACTGACCTCCGAGCCGCGCTCGTGGCAGGACAGCTGCGCCTCCTTAGGCTTTTAGAAGTATTTGCTGGGCCTGTCATTTTTATAGTCATGAACCAAGAAAGTGGACACACATTCAGTTATCTTAGTCCTTTATTGTTTAACATTTATAACTGGGAACTTTCTCAGCTAGCTTTGAAGTGGTTTGTATTGCTCATTTCAAAAAAGCATGATTATCTGTGATTGAGCCTTTCCATTTCTTGGTTCTGAGAAATCATTGCTTTTGTGTGTGTTTATGTTTTATAACTAATATTACAAATCTTGGCCTGGTTTCTTTAGGTCCTAAGCTCTTTAAGGAACCCAGTAGCAAATCAAACAAGCCAATTATTCATAATGCTATATCCCACTGCTGTCTAGCTGGAAAAGTGAATGAACCTCACAAGAACTCCATATTGGAGGCAAGTACCAAATTTCATCATAACATTTTTGTGTGAAATGAAAGGTGTCCATAGATGATGAGTTCCGTTGGAGTGTTCTCTTTCTCTTATTTTAAGTTGTCCTGTTCAGTAGCTACTGGATGTGGAGGAGAAGAGGACCTTATTCTAATTATGGGCAGTGTTCACTGGGCATGGGGGCTGGATGACCCAAAGAAGAGCGGTGCTTCACAGGCAGGTGCGCTGTGGCCGCCCGCGCTGCTGCTCAGGGTCTCTGCGCTTGGGATAGAGCCAGGTCCTCGAGGCAGTTCCTTCCTGCCCAAGGGTGTGGGCCCATGTGGGGCGAAGGTGACAGGAGGTGACATCCCCCAGCTGAGGTCGGGGTGGGGAGTGCAGATTTTGCAAGGCTGGAAGATGAATGCAGGGCCTTGTGACGGTGTGAGTGCTGCACGGAAGGTCTGTGCAAGTGCAGAACACGGGGAGGTAGTTGGACAATCCATACAGTGTGGCTGGAGATGGAAGCCACCGAGGGAAGGGCCCGGTGGCCGGAGGCACTTGGCGCAGCTCTAGGCGTGGGGCAGGTGACATGCTGGTTGTCTTTGGTGTATTCTCTCACCTTCCCAGTGTATCTGCTGCTGGAGTGGTGTCTGGCTTTTGTCCCTTTGGGTTTTTTGTCTGTTTGCTTTATTTTTTTGTGCCAGTACTAAGGCTTGAACTTGTCTTCACTCAGCTTTTTTGCTCAGGGCTAGCACTGTACCACTTGAGCATGCCTCTAGTCCAGCTTTTTTTTTTTTTTTTGGTCTGGTCGTGGGGCCTGAACTCTGGGCCTGGGCGCTGTCCCTCAGCCCTTCAGCTCAAGGCTAGCACTGTACCACTTGAGCCACAGTGCCACTTCCGGTTTTTTTTTCTGCTGTGTGGTGCTGGAGAATCAAACCCAGGGCCTCATGCATGCAAGACAAGTGCTCTACCACTGAGCCACCTTCCCAGCCCTCTAGTCCAGCTTTTACACTGGTTAATTGAAGATGGAGTCTTAGACCTTGTTACTTGGGGTGTTTTGTTGGTTGTGGGCCTTGAACTCCGGGCCTAGGCGCTGTCCCTCAGCTCTTCAACTCAAGGCCAGCACTCTACCATTTGGGCCACAGAGCCACTTTAGTTTTCTGGTGATTAATTGGAGATAAGAGTCTCACGGACTTTGCTGCCCAGGCTGGCTTTGAACCACAATCCTCAGATCTCGGCCTCCTTAGTAGCTAGGATTATAGGTGTGAGCCACCAGCGCCCTGCTGCTTGGAGTGGTTTTGAACCATGATTCTCAGAATATAACCTCCTGAGTAGGTAGAATTACAGGCCTAGAGCCACCAGTGCCTGGCTTGCTTTTGTCACCATAAGGAGAAGATGGTGGACTTACCAATGGAAAGATCTGGAAGGTGGTTAGGATTTGCTATGCCTTTCGCAGTTGGAAGCCTTACGTCAGCGATGAGGAGAAAGGAGGCTTCATCATCTAGTTAGGGTGCTGACAGCTGACTCCTCCGGGCCAACCCTGCGAGTGTGTAGGACAGTGCCAGGGGCCGCGGGGGGCCGCTGTGCCATTTTCCCTTCTCTTGGACGTGGGGAGAGTGCAGTGCTGGCGCGTGGCAGCTTCCGTGTGACGTGTGGGATGCTGCCTTCTCCCACCTCCGCAGCCCAGCACAGCCTCGCATTCCTGCCACCCGCGGGGCCTGGGCTGGTGGCTCATGCCTCTGTTTCCCTGACCACTTCATATTAGAGGTGCTTTTTTCCTTTCTCACCTGAACTTAGGTAAGGTCTCCATTAAATGGATAAACCCTGATTGCCCAACATAGGAGACCATAGTTAATGTGTTAATGGCTTTCCTTATAAGGAGGTACCTGCCTGGATGCTCGCCTGACCTGGTTCAGCAACCCCTGCACGGGGGTGATGGCCATGTGTTTCTGTCTCTCCTGATGCAGGAGCTGGAGAAGTGTGATGCCAACCACTACATCATCCTGTTCCGCGACGCCGGCTGCCAGTTCAGGGCGCTTTATTGCTATTACCCCGACACCGAGGACATCTACAAACTCACCGGCACGGGGCCAAAGAGCATCACCAAAAAGATGATTGACAAGCTATACAAATATAGCTCAGACCGAAAACAGTTTAACCTAATCCCAGCCAAGACCATGTCTGTCAGTGTGGACGCACTCACGATCCATAACCACCTGTGGCAGCCCAAGCGGCCCGCAGTGCCAAAGAAGACCCAGACTCGAAAGTGACGCAGCTACAGGCGCCTGTGGGGACATGCCGATGGCATCGTATTTATTATTCTCATCCTTGGGTACGAAGTGTGCAGAGTCACAGACCTGTTTGACCAGAAGCCCTTCCTTCCTCTCCCCGCCCTCCCTGGCAGGGCTGTGGGGCAGGGAATGGGGGGGCAGACACGGGCTCCAGTGGGTGGCCATGCGTGCCCTGCTGCTGGGAGGCCTCGGCTGAGGGCCGCAGGGCAGCATGGTCCTGGGCCTCCTCTCCCCTACTTGAATTCTTCAGGATAAGATAATGTGATCTGCTCTCTGCGCACCCCCCCTTCCCTCCCCCGCCCCGCGCACCCTGTTTGCACATTGCCCGGCGCCCCACGTTGGCTCCTCATTGGCCAGCTGCGTCATTGGTGATTGCAGGGCCAGGGCCTCCTCTTGGGTCAGAGTGTTTGAATGTCTTCGTAAAAGGAGTTCTTATGGAAAACCTTTTTCATTTGAAATTGTATGATATTTATTGACTGTGTCTACTGCCAACCTTTATAAACACTCCTAAGATTTCTGAAAAAAATCCTTGTTCCTTGCTGCTCAGAAAAAGTTTACCGAAAATATGAGTTCACTAAAGGCACTGAAATCTGAAAAGTCTGTCTTCTGTTAAAATAACGTTTACAGATGTGGAGATGATTTTTGTGGCACGCGGTCGTGGGGCGGCGGGGGGTGGCAAGCAGGCACTGACTTCCTTCTGTGCCAGCGGCGGCCAGCCATGGCTACCACAGGTGGCGGTTGCCGGCGTTAATAAAGGCAGGTTTGGGTTCCACAGTGCATTTCGCTGGGCGGGCTCTCGAGAGTCGCTGTCATGGGAGCGGGTCCCTTGGTGGTGCAAGTGTGTGCAAAGTGCTGCTGAGCACGCAGCCTCAGGTGAGCTTGGTCATTTTGTTCTGCTGCCGCTTTAGGAGCCGTTGCGTGGCTGCCCGCAGCTATCCCCAAAACTCCACGGGAACGCCACGTGGGTTCCCACAGTTGGCTGGCACCCCAGCACAGACATTCACAGGGAACTGGACGCCCCGCCATGGCCAAGCCACCAGCGATGGACCAGCCGCTGAGGGCCCAGAGCCACTGAGCCTAGTTTTGCACACGCCTTTTTGGGAATGTTACTTGAATCTCTCTCGAACTGCAGAAAAATGGATGATAATAGAAAAAGTTAAACAAGTGTCACTGTTGATGTTGGGTAGACAGACAGGGAGCACAGTGCAGAGCGCTGCCGGGAGCCAGGCCCCCCGTGCACACTGCGTATTTCCTGTCAGGAGTGACGCTGTGCCGCCGCGGGTGCGCCTCTCCCGTGCTGAGCATTAAAGTCGGTGACGTCACCACGCTCTCCATACGTGCGCTTCATTTCTCACTGTGTGCTTGATGTATGTCACCTATTTATTTTGACGAAGCACTGACTCATAATAAAGTAATGACCTGCCTCGCTTCATGTCAGTCCTGTGTGCCGTTGTCACAATTCATTCCGCTTTGAGACAGGGTCTCCCTCTGGCCCGGGGGGGGGGGGGGGGGGGGGGGCTTCAGCCTGAGCTTCCCAAGTGTTGGGATTGCAGGCTTGCGTCCCCGGCCTGGCTCCGCACAGTCTGTAACCTCACCTCACCCCATCGAAGTCTGGAATTGATGGTTTCTGATGAAGAGTTAAAACACCTTCTGGCTTGGAGATAGGAGATTGCGTTCCCACCCGGCTTGGGATGCGATGCTCCCGTAGCCTGGCGAGCCTGGCGTGTGGGATTTGGAAGTATGCCCCAGCGCGTGGCTGGGGTGGCTGCTGTCCAGGCTGCTTGGCTGGGTGGCTGAGAGCCATTCCCTGCCTTTTGCATTGGCAGAATAGCCAAGTGTATTGTTAGTGAGTTTCAGACTTGTGGTGCTGGTGATTTTAGGCCCTTCCGGCTGGTGGTGGTAACGCTGGCATTTCGGGTCTGTTGCTGAGTTGTGCGTTGTTTATGCGTCCTGTGATTTCCAAGCTCCTAGGTGTGGGTGCTGAGCTGCAGATTTCCAGCGCCGGGAAGGTAGGAAGGACCTTTCTCGTGTCCCCTCAGGTTTCAGGCAGGTGGTTGGTTTTTTTCCATCCTCACCCTCTGTAGGCAGGTGCTCTGTCACTTGGGCCGAGTCTCTAACCATCTTGCTGGACTTATTTTTTAAACATGGTTTCGTGTCTTTTCTGGGCTGGTCTGGACCGAGGGCCTTCCACATACCTGGGAAGGCAGATGCTTGAGATAGAATCTCACTAAACTGTGTTCCTGGGCTTGCCTCAACCCCCAGTCCTCCTTATCTCCACCTCCCAGATAGCTAGACTTGTAGGCATAAGCCACCCAGCCCATCCACATAAACAGTGTTAAGACTAGCTGTGCCACCCACCCCAGGTGCGACTTTATACAGAAAGCATCCGCTAATGGCTTAGGACACGGGGGAGGGGAGCTGCATGGAGGCTGAGGAGCCAGGAGTGGGGCTCGGGATGGAAGCAGTTTTTCGCAAGCGCTGGTGCAGACGTGGCCTCCTAGGGTGCATGCAGGGGTGGGGCATTGACCCACGAGGAGTGCAGGGGTGCTGCTGCGGCCGGGCCTCGCGCCAGCTTTAAGGCCCAAGGCACACTCTTCACCTGGGCGCTGACGGCAGGTGGAATAGCACACGGATTCCTTCTTGATTGTCCTTCCCTTCCCTGAACCCATGGTGGTTACTTGGAAGAACCTGTTGAAAGAACAGTTTCTCCTGAGCAGTGATGAACATGGCGAACCTCTTACAGGAAGGCTTGTTTGGAGGTGGGAGTTTTGAAGTCATTGCTGCAGGGGTCAGCAGGGAAGGGGCAGTGTCTGGGCTGAGTCTGTGCCCCCCCCCCACCCGCCTCTCCTAGAGGAATTGGCAGGGGCCACGCCACCGGTGGAAGCCCCTGGGTCCATGGAGGAGCTGTGGTTTGAGAGGAGGTTTGGGGCCTGGGTCACTGCACACTGCAGAGGATTCTCACCCTCGCTGGTTGTGATTGTCCGGGGGGGTGGGGGGGTAAGGGTTCAGGGGCAGAAGCTGCTCTGACCGAGAACCCAGTGCCTGGGTGCCAAGTTCCTGCTTGTCTAGCTGTGCCAGTGCCACCGTCACTGGTGGCCTCCAGCGATGGGGAGAGCGCCTCGGTCTCCTTCCTCTCCCGAAGGAGCAGATTAAGATTAACCTCTCCGCAGTGTCTGTCCTCTGAGTAGCAAAGGATGTCTTGTATTTTGCCAAAGCCAATAGTGGTGGGGCTGGGTGAGTAGGGACGGTGGAGTTCACGGCCCAGCAGCCTGCGGGCAAGGCCAGGCCGGGGTCTCCGCTGCTGCTTCAGAGTTCACCATGGTTTTGGTTTTTTTTTTTTGGGTCCGGTCGTGGGGCCTGAACTCTGGGCCTGGGCGCTGTCCCTCAGCTCTTCAGTTCAAGGCTAGCGCTCTACCACTTGAGCTACAGTGCCATTTCCGGCTTTTTTCTTTTTGCATATGTGGTGCTGAGGAATCGAACCCAGGGCCTCAGGCATGCAAAGCAAGCGCTCTACCACTGAGCCACCTTCCCAGCCCTCACCACGGTTTCTTCAGTGCAAATCAGTTTGTCTCTGACACAGAGCCAGCTGTAGGGAAACGGGCAGGGAGGCTGTGCCAGGAGGGTCTAGTAAAATAAGCAAGGCGTTCTGGCGGGGATTGCCAGCCCTGGGTGGGCATGCCAGTAAGACCGTGCAGTCTGTGATTTCCGAACAGGTGGTGGAGGCTAAGCCTGTGTCAGGACGCGAGGCTGGCCGGGGGCTCCCTGAGCAGGTGGGCTGGCGAGGCCGGGCAGGGCATGCTTGGCGTGTCTCCTAACGACCATGCTGGGGACCGTGCAGTCGTGGGAGCGGGGTCAGCGTGGCCAGTGGACCTCCAGCAGTGGGGTCATGAGCACTGATGGTTTGGGGTGGCACACGCCCCTGAGGCTGTACACAAGCCCCGTACTTGAGCACACACTGCGCCTGCTCTGAAAACAGCCAGGACACGTGTCTCCCCCCCCCCCCCCCCCGCAGCAGGGTGGCAGGGGGGGGGGGAACTATGGCAGGATCCACCAGACAGACGATAGATGCCGGTCACCGTGTAGACAGGTGAGCAGGACACCGCCTCCCTCTGGGCCCCGAGCCCAGGCCGTCCTGATGTCCACGCAGAGGCCGCCCGAGCCACCCATGGGCACCTGGCACTCAGCCAGTGGGCCAGGAGACCACCTCTACCTGCTGGGCTGAAACGTGGAAAAGCCATGCTGGTTCCAAAGGGGCAAGCGTACCTCGGACAGTGAAGCCCAGGGGGTCGTTAGAGTAGCCACCTCCTACACAGGTGGCATCCAGGACCCGGGGCCCGCATGTCCTCCCTGTGAGGAGCCCCCGGTATGCCTGGGCCCACTTCCCACCTCTGCTCTTCCAGCTCGTCTCCTGCCCAGGCGGCGGGGGCTGGGCACCGTGGACTCCTTTGGAAAGCCCAGACCCTGGCCTGGAACTTGCCCAATCTGGTGTGATGTGGTTGTTGGTGGTTTTTCTATTTCCTAAGTCAGGAAGGAAGCAGCGGCTCCTCCAATATTCTGGGCTTCTGCTCCTGGAGGTTCCTGTCTTCTTCCGTGCCATTCTCAGCCGGGCTGATGGGGCAGGGGTCCTTTCTCCTGACTCACAGGAATTCCTGAAATCACGTCCACAGCCCCGGTGTGGACAGCAGACCTGCGGGGCTGTGGCTTGGAGAAGCGGTTGCTGCTGGACTGACACACATCGCCATCTCTTAGTACTGGATGAGCATTGATGCCAGCATCTCTTTGCTGGTCCTTGGTGTTTTCTCATTCTGTGAAATAGCTGTTTGGTTGGCTATTTTTCTGCTTTTTCTAACTAATTTGGCTTTTCATTCTCTTTACATTGTCTTATGATAAACAGACACTCTTAAGATTTATAGGGCTGTCTAGCCAGTGCTTGTTTCTTGTGTTTAATGACCTCTCTGCCACAGGTCATGAAGGTACTTCTTTTATTTTTATTTTTATTTTTTGTCAGTCGTGGGGCTTGAACTCTGGGCCTGGGCGCTGTCCCTCAGCTCTTCAGCTCAAGGCGAGCGCTCTACCACTTGGGCCACAGCGCCACTTCTGGCCTTTTCTGTGTTAATGTGGTTGGTCCTGGGCCTCTCTCCCTTAGCCATTAAGCCTCCACGTGTGGCGAGGCCCCCCAGCCCGCCCCGAAGCCCACGCGGCAGCAATGGCGGTGTCCACTCCCCCCCCCCCCCCCCGACATCCTGGCAGCCTCTGCTCTCACCGGGAAACTGGCTCCTCAGGGCGCTGAGGCTAGGTTGGAGTTTATCAGATGGTTTTCATGAGTTGAAATGGTCTTTATCCTGTTAAGAAGCTAAATTTATTGACTGTTCCCAGCATGTAGATGGCCTTGTGTTCCTCAGATAAGCCCAGCCTGGCCTGGATGGCCTCCGGTGCACGGCTGGATGGGCTCGGCCTGCGAATAACCCTCCGTGTGCACTGCTGGTCGAGTGTGCTTTCAGTTTACGCATTTGTGTGCCCGGGGTCAGCGTGGCTCTTGTGGCTCTTTCCGGTTCGAGGTCGCGTTGTGCTGGCTGAGTGGTGCCCGGCGTGTCCTGCACGCGCCTGGCGGTGGCGCTGTCTCGTCTGCTGTGGCTGAGGGCAGCGCAGGGGCAGCCTGCACCTGCGCAAGGGGCACCCACCCCACACAGCCCTGGCCTCCCTGCAGGCGCCATCTGCTCCAGTGTCTTGTGTTCCCTCCGTGTCTGCGTCTTAGTCCTTTCTTAGCAGGCAGTGGACACGTAGGGTTAGGGCCGAAGACTTTCACGGTGCGCCCCCGTGTGGGCAGCTGACGTTTGCCCGGGCGGGCTGACCTCGGGCAATGCCTCCCACGTTTGCATTGTGGACTCTGAGGCTCCAGGGGAATGGCAGCACACGCTGGCCACGAGGCAGGTGTTCCTCAGAGCCCAGCATGGCGACTGCATCCTGAGGCCTGCTGGCAGAGGCTCCCTCGGGCCCCGGGGCGTGAGGTGGCTCACTGGCTGACCTGCTGGGAAGCTGGCGCCTGCCCGAGGAGCTCAGTTTGGAAGTGAGGACATAGGCCTGAGCAGGCCCAGTGAGAGGTGCCTCAGTTTCCCTGATGAGTGGAGTGCTCACAGGATGCAGAGGCGCTGTCACCGTCACCGTGGGGAGGACGGCGCTCCGCTTTGTGTCCAGGTTAGGGGCAGGTTGGTGAGCGAATGTGCTGAGCCAAGGCCCAGAGGAAGTGCGGTGGTGGCACAGCCTGCCACCCCTGCGGAACTGTGGCTGGTGACAATGGCGTTCCCGTGTCTTGTGTTGAGGAGGAGCCTGGGATATGCCAGGCTGCGAAAGGGTGCAGGTGCGTGGGAGGCTTGCTTGCCATTTCCTAGTAGCCAGGAGACCCGGGGACCAGGGAACGGCAAACTGTCCCCTCCCCC